AATCCAAACATAATAAAAAAGAACATGGGCTTACCACAATTACATAAGTCCAACTTTAGCATATGAGAATAATATGACAAGTATTGCATAAATGAAAAAGGATACATTAAAGGATGGTAAAACAAAGCATAGCTTATTACAATTCTGATTTCATATAACCATAAAAAAAAAAAATTATTTTTTGTATATGAACTCAAAATGCTTGTTAAAATAAAGAGGTTCTTGCCTTACAATCTCACTACTAAAATTCAAGCCTTCAGCAGCAATATATCAGCAACATTGGATCTTTTGTTGCTAAAAATTTGTATTAAAACAAGACTCATGTTGTTGAAAGTTGCATAGTACATTTTTCCCCTAAAAAGTTGTTCTACTTTCAGCAACAAGGAGTATTTTGCTGAAAGTGAATTTCAGCAACATATCTCATGTTGTTGATATTTTCCAGCAATCATTTCCCCATCTAATTAAGCCCACTTTCAGCAAGATATTCTTTGTTGCTGAAAGTGACTTTTAGTAATAAGAGCTATCTTGCTAAAACTTTTCTAACCACATCTAAAGTATTAGCAACATATATTATGTTGCTGTTATTTTTATCTTTTTACCAACCAAACATCAGCAACATATCCCTTATTGCTGATATTACCACTTTGACTAATAGTTGGTCAAGGCCATTATAGATATATACCTTTAAATAAAAAGTCGAATCTAGCTATAAAGATTCGACTCTCTAGTATTCAAGAGTCGACTATATATGGTGAACATTTGACTCCCAAATTCCAGAGAATTGAGAACATTTTGAGTGTTGTGTATAGTCGACTCTCTTTAATGAGAGTCGGCTCTTTTTGGAAAAGAGTTTACTCTTATTTAAAAAAAAGTTGACTCTTAATTTAAAAACTATTGACAAAAACTTGTGATAACTTTATATAAAATATCTATGTAGTCTCATATGCATATTCACATATTTTTTTAGATAAAATCAAGTTTTAAATTAGTTAAATATATTAATAAATAATATAATTATATTAATTAATGTGTTAAGTATTAAA